GCATCTCACACACCACTGAATGAGGGCTGTTACCAAATGCTGATTTGTTAATGGTGGGTACTGTAAGCTCTAGAGCACGTTCCCTCAAGCACTCAGTTCAGAATATCTGCTGGACCTAGGAGTTCAGGGAGAACCAGCATTTTTTTGCGCAAAACCCGGCGGAGCGTCCACACCTCAAGCGCGTTTTTGTGCAAAAAAAATGACAGTAAATCGACAGGACAGAAGGCTTTTGTCAGTAGAGTTATTGCTTTACCCATGAGGAATAAGTCCTTTTTGCACGACAGCTCTTGTGCAAAAAGGCAGGTGTGGATGCACCGCAGAGGTTTCTTGAGCAAAAAGAGCCTATCAGAAAAAGCACAGGTGCATTCTGTGAATGGCCATCAGAGCTTTCTTGCGCAAGAGCGTCCGTGTTGAATTTCTAGTGACAAGGACAAGGGAGGATCGTGAGATACAGGCATCAGTCCAAGCAGAAATGGAAGCGCCAAGGAAATGTGGTTTGTCATGCTCGCCCTCTTGCCCTCTGCATCCACTCTGCCACTCAGCCTGCACTCCCCACAGCACCTCAGTCAGATTTCCCCAGGCCCCTTCTGAATTACCATGCTCAGCACAAATCTGTGTATCAGAGGACATTTCAGGTGAGGGAGCAGATTCAGGGGTGCCTGAATGAGCCCTCAGAGTAGTAGGGCCTGGCCCAAGAGAAGGCAGAACCAAACCAGCCAAGAGAGGCACTAGTTCAGTGCTTTTCCTGGGTAACTTCTGCTAGAGGAGCTACCATGAAGCTGCCCTCCCCGTGTGGAGCCTGCTGAGGTGAATCTGGCCTGAAAGCTGCAACCCAAATGGCCTTTTCTCTGGGCTCCAAAACTTGGACACACAGTTGTAGCCTGAAGTCACGCTGCACTGGGCTGTGCTCTTCTCAGGCCTCCGAGCCGAAATATAGTCTGCCTGGGTCAGTCCCTGCGTGGGAAACATCGCCTCTGGAGCTCGTGATGTTTGTGATTCAGAAAGTGTCACTTTTCCCTCTGTGTCAGTGCCCTAGAATGGTGTGCGGGAGGCCTCGTGTTCCTGGATCTCACCTCCCAGCCAAGACACAAAAGCAAGGGAGGGACAATGTGAGGTGCTTTTTTTTTGCAAGAGTAACATAACTGATGCCCTGGCCAGTTTTTAATTCAGATGATTTAATGATGTTCTATCTCTCTGCCTTACTCTCTGGCCATTTGCATTGGATTTGGTATTCACTTCCCTTGCGGCGTCGCTGCCTGACACTCCGGAGGCTGGCACACATCAGCAGGGACTGATGTGTCTTCTCTGCAGGCGTTTGGAGAGGGTGGAGTCATGTAGGGGACACTCTCTTTGGCAGGCGCCAAAGAGAAGGGGTAAAAGATTGCCTGAGGTGCAACAGCTCCAGAGAACGTGACGGCTGAGGCCCGTGTGCACAATAGAAAAGGCTAAGTCTGCCCAAGTGCAGATTTTTAAATAGGCCCACTCTTACTTTTGGAGATGAGCTGTTTGCTTTACTGCATTGTGCATTCCAGTTTTAGCTGTTTTGGGAAGCCTCCAGGGCATTCAAAGAGGGGCAGCTTGCAGGGCCCTCTCTCCTTCCCTCAGCTGCCAAGCAGGCTCCAGGGCCTTCTTGGTAGGCTTGCCAGATGCTTTCACCAAACTTGGTTGAGCAAAAGAACAAGGGGACAAGAGGTGTTGAGCACAAATTTAAAAAAAAGGCGCTGCACCTTTAAGAATCCCTGTGCTCCTTGCTTCCCCATGCCAAATGCTGCAGGGGAAGATTGTCCCTGTCGGCCTCCCATCCGAGAGAAACAGAAAATACCAGACTGTTTTATATGTCTGGTATTTTCTGGTTTTTTTTACCAGACAGGGGCCAGAAAAAATGGACTGTCCGGGTGAAAACCGGACACCTGGCAACCCTACTTCTTGCTCCCACCACCTCGTACTCTTTGGGGCCACAGGATGAGGTAGCCAGATTGCAGGGCTCCCTACCAGAGTACTATTGATGGCAGATCACCACCTGTTGCAGG